ATTCCTTTCGAGTTGAGTTCGAGTTCACTTCGCTTCCAGTGTCTTTCTATTCGAGTTGATTTCGAGTTCACTTCGCTTCCAGTGTCTTTCTATTCGAGTTGATTTCCAGTTCACTTCGCTTCCAGTGCATTTTCAGTTCGGGTTCTATCTAGTTCCGTATTCAATTCGATTCCAGTGCGTTATCAGTACGCTTACAGCTGCTTTCTTTCTTTGGTTCAGTTCCGAGTTTCCTTCCAAGTCAGTCGAGTTTAGAAGTTTTGTTGAGTTTCCTTTTATTGACCAAAGTGAGGTTATTTTTTAGTTTGTTATTATCATCGAAGAAGAACGTTTTTAGTTTCCATATACAGTCCACGATTACCAGCCATCCGTGTGGTCTACTGATCGAATCAAGGCCACACCACATTTTGGCCTTCCGAGCCGGATCTCAATTAAGATTGAGAGTTTGCATGATATATTTGCATTTAACGGATATCGAGGTAAGATTATATTTCCAAGTTTCTTATAATCCTAAAAATGCCGCCCAAGAGTGCATCTGCCAGTGCTGAAGTCGCACGACTAATTTCCAAACGAGAAATGTATTTTTCCATTATACAGAAGACGTATGACTTGAGCAGAGATGTGGAAGATGCGTCAAGCAAGAAACAATTTTGTACAAACCTGATAATGTTAGATAACGTTCGAGAACAATTTATAAAACTTACCGACGATATTAATAAATTAAACTCGCTGGAAAATCCCAGTTTCGTACCGGATTATGCTGCCCTTCTATCCGTAGAACAATTATACGCGGAAATAAAATACATTGAAAAAACTATTTCTGATGTAAACAATACTTCCTCTTTGACAAAAAGTGAAGATTCCCCATATAAATTTATTTCCAAATCCCGTCTCCCAACAATTGAAATACCCAAATTTGCGGGTGATTTCAAAAAATGGCCGCTATTTTACGAAACATTCAAAACCCTTATACATGAGAATCCCGAGATTGACATTATATCCAAATTTCATTATTTAATGGGCGCCTTAGAAGGCCCAGTAATGAAAATTTTCAATACTATCTTACCTACCGCCAATAATTATTTAATTTTATGGGAAGCATTGATAAACAAATACGAAAATAAACGTTATCTGGGCATTCACTATTTCAAACAGTTAATGTCTTTTAAACTGTAAACTCATCACAGTTGCATAACTTTATCGAGAAATTTGACACTGCAGTACAAGCATTAAATCAATTAAATATTCCAGACCTGTATGATTTTTTACTAACATCGATCGCTCTATCTAAATTAGATACCAATTTACAGGAAAAATTTGAAAATTATTTTCAGGGCGAATATCCTTCCTATAAAGAATTATTACAATTCATAAATAAAGTGCAAAAGGTCAAAGTTATATTTATGATCTGCGCGAAAAGGTTTCGAAAACCCACATTTCTCATTCGTTGATAACCAACAATGTCAAATCGTTTCAATGTTACTTATGCAACAAAAGTCATAATATTTTCAAATGCCCGCAATTTCTAGAATTAAATATCAATGACAGATGGTCGGCAATTAAGAGACTGAATCTTTGTTCGAATTGCCTGGGTCATAAACGTAACAGTCCGTGTCATTCTAAGAAAACATGTCTGTATTGCAATACCAAACATCATACTTTATTACATTCAAATAATTGTGTTGACAATACAAAACAAGTTCCAACAGATATTCCTTCCAAAAATTCGACACAGAAAAGTTTCGATTCCAATCAAAGTAATACTTTATGCGTTGTAAATGAATTAGATTTATCACATCATATAAATCTTATGCCAACCGCAACTGTTTATGTTTTGGCAACAGGTATTAAAACTAGTCCGTTACGTGTCATTATTGATACCGCAAGCGATCGCAACTATGTGACTGAGTCATTCTGTAAATCCGCTCACCTAGAGATAACACCGATCGAGGCTCAAGTCATTTCTATAGGTAACTCTTCGCAAAAAATTACGGGCATGGCAAATTTTATTATTATGTCGAATGATTGTTCCTTTCAAATGTCTGTATGTGCCTATGTAATACATGAAATTATCAAACCACAACCGACCATTAAAATTCCATTCAATTCCATTAATTTTTATCTTTACAACTGGCGGATAATAAATTTTTCATTCCTCAAACTGTTAATGGAATCTTGGGTTGTGATGTATTTAATGCGATTATTATGTCAAATCACATAAAAACCGTCGATTCACCTATCGCATTGGATACAAATTGGGTTATGTAATAATGGGATCTCTTCCAAACGTTGCATCGCCTGATTCAAGTTCGACAAATCTATGCACGATTGAACATGATTCCTTATCTAAACAAATGAAAACATTTTTTGAGTTAGAAGATGTACCTGACATGATTGTGTCGGAAAACGATTATTGCGAACAGTTTTATACGTCCACCACAGTACGGAATTTCGATGGACGTTACGTGGTCGCATTACCATTTCGTGACAACGTTAATGTAAATTTCAAAAATCATATGAACTCGCGCATAAGCGTTATTGTATTTTAGAACAAAATTTCGGAAATCTTTTGAATTCTATAAACAATATTCAAAAGTAATTCAAGATTATTTACAACAAAAACACATGTCATTTTTAGGTCATGTAAATGATTCCGCAGCCAATGAAGGGTATTATATTCCACATTTTGCCGTGATTAAAGACAGCTCATCCACACCGTTACGAATTGTATTTGATGCATCAGCAAAGAATGCTGAATTTCCTTCCCTGAATGCCAACCTATTTTCCGGGCCAAAGCTACAGTCTAACATTATCACAATTCTTCTTAACTTTCGTTTTGGCGAAATTGCGTTAACGACCGATATTAAACAGATGTACAGAAATATATTAATTCGTGATCAAGATAGACGATTTCAAAGGATACTTTGGAGATTTTCTCCGGAAGATCCCCTCGGCATTTATGAATTAAACACTGTCACGTTTGGTATTACGTCATCTCCTTTTCATGCGTTACGCACTATTAAACAACTAGCTAAAGATGAGAGCAAAATTACCCCTTAGCCACTGATATAATTCAAAATGATATTTATATCGACGACGTGGTACTAGTGCAGACACCGTCGAAATCGCAAAACAACTTTACGTTCAATTGTCGAGTTTGTTCCGTTCCGCGTGTTTTGAACTAGCGAAGTGGGCTTCGAATGATCGTCTAATGCAGTGGTCGGGGAACCGGGGTAAATTACCCCAAATGGGGTAAAAGTGAAATTTTTGGGGGTAAAAGTACATATTTGCAAAGCACTAAATCAGCATTAGCAGAAAATGTGTAGAAATAAGTAGTTTTCGCACTAAAACAAGTTAAATATCTTGCTTTGTTTTAAATCAGCTTCAGTAAAACCTACTACCGAAAAGAATCTCTGCATTAGCAAAAAATGTGAAGTTTTTGCATTAAAACAAACTAAATATTTTGCTATTCAGCTTGAGACAACTGATTTCACTAGTAATTCACAACAGGTATATGTTTGCTATAAAGGTGCAAATAATTTTGAAAAGAAATTCTGTTTTGTTTTCTTCTCGAATTCAGATATCGTGGAATAGATATTTATAATAAAGTAAACGAATACTTCAAAGCGCATAGATTAAAATGGGAAAATTGCAATTTGGTGTCTTTGGATTAAGCTCCATCTATGCTGGGCCATATTTATGGTTTTTTAGCTTTTGTAAGGGAAAGTAACCAACACTCATGATGTTATCAAGATTATAAATTTTATCAAGAGATATGCACTATTGCATACGACTATTTTGTGAATTATGTCAGGATTGTGAGGCTGAGACCTACCTACTTTATTATACAGAAGTAAGGTGGCTCTCTCGCGGAAATATTTTAAATTGAGTATAGACTCTTGAAAATGAAGCAGAAATCTCTATGGTCAAGAAAATATTCTTGCTGAAAATTTTAGAAACTCTTCCTGGATTGCATATCTCGCATATTTAGCAGACATGAAATTTTGAAGAAATTGTGTCAAAGATGAAGCAACACCATTTCTCCAAATTGTAATGTTCTTACATTACATGTGTGCGTGTTTATTGTCACTTGTTATAGTAATGGACCGAAAATTGAAAATGAAAATCTTTGCATTTCTTAACGTTTCAGAGGTTTTTGAACATTTTGCCATACCTTAGAAAAAATTGATGTGTACGTGTGTGTGTTTTGTGTGTCCGTATTTTTTCGTTCACATTTTCGGGCGCACGGATGAACCGATTTGAATGGTTCAAAAAACATTTGGTTCCTATGATAGGGAGATACGCTGATTAGTATTTGGCAAAGGCAGGTCCAGCCGTTACGGAGATACGGCGTAAAGAGTGCAGAAAATAAAAATCGAGTTTTTGAGAGAACGGAGTATCGCATATAAATGATTCAAAAAACATTCAATTTGTAATGATTGGGAGATGTAGTTATTAGGTTTTGGCAAAGACAGGTCTAGCTATTTCGAAAATACAGAGCTGAATGTACAAAAATGGCAGTTTTTGAGAGAACTGAGCATCCGATTTGAATGATTAAAAAAACTTGCTGGTTCTGTTGACAAAACAATTACTTCTGGGAAAGAAAAATATTAATTTTTTTTCAAAAAATTTTTCTTTGTATATCGAAAATAATTCAGATTTTAATTTTAATTCTGGCTAAAGTTCTAAAGCTCACTCATATGCTTCAAATAAATAATTTTTTTAAATTTTGTAATTCAGCTTATAATTATATCTTATGAATATTATACAGTGTTACAGTATTTATAATAATCATAAAATGTCAGGAAAAATATATTTATTCATAATGAATAAAGTTTTTACCTATTGTTTCCTTCAAACCATTTGTTTCAGCCTTTTTCAAAGTTTAGAAGTAACAAACAATGTAGCAAACCGTTAATCTGCGGGTTATGGCAGGTTATACAGAAATATGTTGCAAAAAGATTCCAATTATAGGCTCTTTTAGTTAATTTTTTTGTGGGGTAATGGTAATGAGAGGTTGCACAAAAACATTTTGGGGTAATGGTTCCAAAAGTTCCCCGACCACTGGTCTAATGTATAAACAATTTGAATCACACCATAAAACACAAATTAATTTTTCACAAACAATCTCTGAATTTGATACTTCCGTTAAAGTATTGGGATTGAGATGGGATCCAATTCAAGATTGTTTTAAATTTAATATCAACCTTCTCCATCAAAATTGGACAAAACGTCATATATTATCCACCATTGCTCGTATTTGGGATCCCTTAGGTTTCATTACGCCTATTACCATCAAATTCAAAATGATCATGAAAGAACTATGGTTATTAAAATTGGATTGGGATGAGCCATTACCTTCCTCGTTAGTTGCAACATGGCTTAGTATTTATAATCAACTTCCAGAATTAATTAATCTTTCCATTCCTCGATTTGTAGGTACCAAAAATTATATTCGTTGTTCTCTTTACGGTTTTGCGGATAGTTCAGAAAAGGCTTATGGAGCTGTGATTTATATCAAGCCTTGCCATGATAATAAATATTACCTTCTTATTTCAAAATCAAAAATTACTCCAATTAAAGTTCAAACTTTAGCAAGAGTAGAGTTGTGTGCGGCGCACTTATTGGCAAAATTATTATCCTTTGTCATATCTTCCAATCATCATTCTTTATGTATCGAAGAAATATATGGTTTTACGGACTCGATGATTGTGCTTCATTGGTTAACAGGTCCAGCTCATAGATGGAAAACTTTTGTCGCAAATAGAGTAACGAAAGTTCATGATTTACTTCCTTCTGCCAAGTGGTATCATATTCCTTCCGAGGCAAATATTGCCGATTGTGTTTCTCGTGGTTCATTACCAAATACATTGCTTAATAATAGTAATTGGTACACAGGTCCCTCATGGCTTTACTCTCAAAGAAGTCATTGGCCCATACGTTCTACGTTAGATTCCATGCAAAATATTCCAGAAGAAAAAGTTTCATCTTGCTTAGTGGCAAACTCCTGTAAAAATGATCTATACGAATTCACTTCCACTATATCATCATGGGCCAGACTATGCAGAATATTTGTATTTATTTTACGTTTCTGCAAAATTATTCCATCTAGAAATGAAATATATTTTTCAGATTTCAACAAAGCCGAATTAACTATAATCAAACTTATCCAACAAATCTATTTTTTCGAAGAAATTGATTGTTTGAAAATGAACAAGTTTCCTAAAAGGTATCGGACTTTACGACTATTTTTACATGATGGGTTCTTAAGAGTTGGTGGACGTTTAACACATGCTAACCTGGATTTTGATCATAAATTTCCCTTGCTTTTACCCAAAAAGGATCACGTGATAAATTTAATAATTGATTATTATCATGAGAAACATTTACATGCTGGTCCACATTTACTCACTTCCATTCTTCGTCAAAGATACTGGATTTTATCCATTCGCAGTATTGTACGCCAACGCATTCATAAATGCAATAAGTGCTTCAGGAGTAATCCTAAATCCTTTACTCCTATTATGGCTGATTTACCTTCTCCTCGTGTTATGGAGGCAAAACCTTTTCAGCACACTGGTACTGACTATGCTGGTCCCTTTCGCGTAACCATGGGAAAATTTAGGGGCGTAAAAAGTTCAAAAGCATATATTTGTTTATTTATTTGTTTTTCCACAAAGGCAATACATATTGAGCTTGCCTCCGATTTAACCACGTTTTAAGCGCTTTATTTCACGAAGAGGTCCAGTTTCTTGTCTGTATTCAGATCGCGGAACAAATTTCGTTGGTGCCAAATCAGAACTGAAAGATATATTTCAGCTTATTAACTCAAAAACATTTAGTGCATCATTAAACTCCGAACTTCACAAGCATAATATCAATTGGTCTTTCAATCCGCCAGCCGCACCCCACTTCGGGGGTTTGTGGGAGTCCAACATAAAATCTATAAAAGCGCATTTATATCGAGTAATAGGTGAACAAATTCTTACTTACGAGGAATTAAATACCGTGTTAATCCAAATTGAGGCGCTTCTCAATTCTCGACCATTATGTTGGATGAGTTCCGATCCAAGTGATCCCCAACCTCTTACGCCAGCTCATTTCCTCACTTTAACTCCCTTAAACATCCTTCCATCAAAAAACATATTGCAAATAGATTTACCGACGCGAAAACAATTAATTGATAAAATAATACAATCTTACTGGAAGAGATGGCATTCTGAATATTTAAGTGATTTACAATCACGTCAAAAGTGGAACACCCCTTCTCTCCCGGCTAAAAGGGGTATGTTAGTTCTAATCAAAAATGAAAATTTGCCTCCTCTTCAATGGTCCATGGGGATTATTGAAGACGTTTTTCCTGGAAAAGACGGAGAGGTGCGCACAGCTTTAGTAAGAACCAGGGCTACGTTATTAAAACGCCCTGTAGTAAAGCTCTGCCCCCTACCTACACAGTAATTTATGGTGAAGAAATATGTTTTTTTTCATATTTGCAAACGATATAAAAAAAAAATAGTCTAATGCTTTTATTTGTTACCTTTCAATTAATTCCTTCCTTTTACCTTTTACCATTATATGTGGTAACTTTATCAGTAACTTGCTTCTATTCAGAGGAATCGCATGACAACTCAATCACACTCAAGAGCAGAATGTTATTTGCTCAGTTGTTCTCACAACTTTTGATAATATTCAAAATCTGTACATTCAAGAATATCGAACGCTATGAATCATCATAATATTGCAGTTATTGTAAAAATGCCTTTAATTTGGAAATGAATACGGCCCCATATTGGACACATTCCAAATACGAACTGGTTGTTTTAAACCATGCTGGTTACTCAAAATAAACTACCACCATTATCAACAAATCCACGAAACAAGGTCAATGAAATTTTAATTCCTATTCGACATAAAGGCATCTTAGATATGACAATTGATAATTCCACCAAGACAAATTTTCATGTGTTCCGAAAAAACAAGCATGTATGATGCAAACCTAAAATAATTTCCAGTGGTGCTATGGAAGTGATATCCATTAATAGAGAATATTAAAAATCATTTGCTATAGCAGAGAATGAAATTTGGCAGCATTATTACAGCAAGATACTGAGCAACTATAATAAAGTTCAAACAAATAACAAGGTTACTGCTTTCCTGTCAAGATTACTTATCCTTAATATTGATTATGATGGGTGAACATAGAAACATTAGATATTCCATCAAAACTTAACTTACTTCCTAGATTCAATTAAGGATCAACATGTTATTTCTTCACCATCTCTCATGTGTTTTATTTTTTGCATAGTTTGACTAATGGTTTTGATATTTCCATTTATATTTTCTAGTATTAAAAAGGTACCCTTTTTCGCCCGGGGAAGAAATGGTGACGCCACTGACTATTACATGCGTCGATAATAATAATATAGTCGCCATCTCGGGGTTACAATATGTCAACCGATTTGTTCCTTTCTAATCCAGACTACCTGTCTCTTTCCTTCCAAAACTTTGACCTATGACTTCCGACACGTGGTCTATTCCTTTCGAGTTGAGTTCGAGTTCACTTCGCTTCCAGTGTCTTTCTATTCGAGTTGATTTCCAGTTCACTTCGCTTCCAGTGCATTTTCAGTTCGGGTTCTATCTAGTTCCGTATTCAATTCGATTCCAGTGCGTTATCAGTACGCTTACAGCTGCTTTCTTTCTTTGGTTCAGTTCCGAGTTTCCTTCCAAGTCAGTCGAGTTTAGAAGTTTTGTTGAGTTTCCTTTTATTGACCAAAGTGAGGTTATTTTTTAGTTTGTTATTATCATCGAAGAAGAACGTTTTTAGTTTCCATATACAGTCCACGATTACCAGCCATCCGTGTGGTCTACTGATCGAATCAAGGCCACACCATATGTCAAATAGATGGTTGTCAAGTTGGAACAGATTATGTGTTATTCTTTTAATTTTAAAATTCAATTATTTATATATTTTTAAATGCTAATAAGAATGCTTATTTTGATTTTATATGAGGTTTTTATTTAATTCGCAAGTGTTTGCTCACTGCCTATTTGTATTCATTTATCAACAGCTTGAAATAATACTATTATTATTGATTGATTAAGGCTTGCTTATGAAAAAATAAATAAATAAATTTGTTTCAAATGCTGTGCTGTGCAAGTACTTATTGGTTTAATGTGAATAATGTGTTACCATAACATTTTCTGAATTATATTATTATTGCATATAGGTTATTCAAATTGAGATCCTAAATTTGGAATTCATCGAAGGGGACACTATAGACAGCGATATGAATAAGAAAATTGGATTATAACACAGATAGTAATTTTAGAAATCATATTCATAAAAATCTCAATTATGTGTACATACAAGTACAAGATCTTCGGAAACAAAGTTGTTAGAAAATTGCTTATGAAGATCGCATTATGACATGTGACATCAACATAAGTGCAGTTTAATTAGATATGGAAGTAATCATTACAAATATTTACAGTACAATCTATTTACAATACAAATTTTTCATTACAATTGTGAATAATGTGTTACCAAAACATTTTATGAATTATATTATTATTGCATTTAGGTTATTCAAATTGAGATCCTAAATTTGGAATTCATCGAAGGGGACACTATAGACATTTCTGTCTAAACACTTATTGCAAGTTATAATAGACAGCGATATGAATAAGAAAATTGGATTATAACACAGATAGTAATTTTAGAAATCATATTCATAAAAATCTCAATTACTTCCCGAGCATACTACATACAAGTCATGGTGATAACAAAGATGCCACTAATTTGGATACACGATTGCAAAAAAGGAAAATCAAAATAAGCACATTGAAATTTATCACAATATGTACTCATGTTGAAAATGTACATATGTTCAATCAAATTCATAAATAAGAAATGCCCATTTTATATAGCTATATAACAATTCGTGGTAAAACGTTAAAATGGCTGTACGGATTGGGCTCAGTCTTAGTTGCATAATTTTATATTTATTAGTATTTATAAAATATTTTCTACATTATATTATTATTTTATTTAGATTATTTAAATTAAAAACTTAAATTTGGAATCAAAGGGGACATTTTGTCGAATAACTTATTCCCAGATATAACTGACCATTACTTAAATAAGAAGATTCGGTTGATAATATAACTTTGGAACACACATCTGTAAAAATGTCAATGCACATAATTACAAGTTCTCTGGAATAAAATTTTGAAAATTAATTATAATACTCGCATTCAATTAAATGTATGGACAGTTCGGGTGCTAGAACAAGTATAGCAGAAAAATGAGTACAATTCTGAAGGTATTCCTTTCAAAAGATATGTCAAAATCTATGCATTTTAGACACAGTCAGATATCGTTCATGTTTTATTGAATCACTCTACAAATTGAAAAAGATGAAGTACTTCAACAATTATTGGTTAATGCAATGTAAAATATAATTCACTAATGGTTATTTTCCACTAATTTTGAAGAATAAACTGGAAAATTTTTCTATGAATTTATCGAAGAATGGATAGTAATATATGAAGATATGGGGTTAATAAGATTCACCACCAATATCTTAAAAACCAGTAAAATTTAGCATTGTTCAACAACAATATTTGAAAGTAGAGGGGAAAAGATGTATAACCAGCTATAACCTTGATTCTTATGACTTTGCTATCAGGAGATAAACGGTAATCTTTGAAAATCCATAACAAAAGTATTTCCTTTTGTTGTTAGTTTTTTGGGTTGTAAGCACTGTGATTTAGTTCACGAGACCTTAATATAAATTTTAACTATTTAATTGTTTTATAAAATGTAATGTTAATTTTAAGTGAGATTCAACACTTTAAAAACTTACATCTGTGTGGGGCAAAAATGACCAACTGAGCATTGACCACGGCTAAAGATTAAAAAAGACTTGGATTAAATTATACCATATTTTTATAAGAAGTGTATAAAACTTCCAGTTTCATTGTATTAACAAAATATGGTCAAACGAATATTGTTATTATGAATTATATAATTTATTATTATATAAGTAGACTTTGAAGTTTATTGTGTTTATAATACCTCATTGTCGGTACCATTCAAACTATACATCCTTACACTCCTAAAATAAAGTATTCTTTTCCTTATTCTGTAAAAGTTGCTTAGAAATACCTAACTTAGCAAAACAACGTTTGCCGGGTCAGCTAGTATATATATATATATATGTGTAGATAATTTTGATCATTACATAGTTTTTGTTAACAAGTATTTTTTTAAAGATAATAGCAAAAAACGATCAAACGCCAAAAAACAAATTTTCAGTGGCCGGTAATTTGGAAAATATTTGCTTTCTTAAAAAACGTTATTAAAAATTTTTCTCTTATAATTAGTTTTTTCATCGATATCGATGAGAAGAAATATTATCCCCCGGGAATTGGCAAAGGAGTCTAAGTTATTTTAACTCTTGAACTTGAGAGTAAGATAAACCTAACTCCAAATTTTCATGTAAATTGGAGCAAAGTAAAAAAGATCAGACCAAGAACGCTCCATTGACTTGAGTAAATTTTATTGATAAAACATATGATTTTTTGCCGAATGAAATTTCTAAATAATTTAATGAATAAGTAATGTTTTTGTATTGTGATTTAGTAAAGTAAGGCAAAACACGACTACACTAGTTAAAAAATAATAATGTGTCAAATTAATTATAAAGGATGTATTCGCTCTCACTGACAGTCCACATTCGCCAGGCGCATGCGCAGATTGTTTCTGTGCTAAATATAAAATGTATCTTATATTATTTTAACTTTTGGCACATCACAGCTGCTTTGCGGCAATAATAACGTAGACATTACATTTTTCTTATCCATAATCATAAATATATTATATTTTAATAATGTCATAGCCCATAAGTGAATTGAAATGTTTGACAAATGACAGTCTTCATTTGTTTTTAATATCAAACAATGTTTTAAATATTTTCACCTTATATGAACAGAATAGTAAAATCAGTTATTGAATGGATTCTCTGAATATGATATAATATTTATCCCATAAATTTATCTGCATGTTTGAAAGTGAGTGTGTATGTGTGCGGGTGAATAACATAAGCCAAATAGCTCATAGAATTGTCATGCATTCTAATTGCTATTGAAAATTATATATATATATATATATATATATATATATATATATATATTCAAGGTCAAACAATGATAAGCTTTTTTCCATTTTCCATTTTCGATTTTCTCCATTTATTTCTACTATCTAACTTTATTTCTATAAATAAATAGATCCTAAACAAGAACCCTTGATAAACTTCAGAAAGATAGTTTATGAGGATTATTCTTTTATTTACCTTTACAGAACAATTTTATATGTAAGATATAACTTGAGGTTCTTGAGTTTTTTGTAACTTTCCATGGGGTAAGTTATAGCAACCGCAAAAAATTGATAAATATTA